CATTTTGTGTAAGTGTTTTCATAAAACATTTGATTAGTACAGCTCAAACAAACAACATGGCTGCCTATCGTCTGTCTGACAGGGATTCCAAGGGAATGATTGCAAACCAGCATATATGCATGCAACTGCAGTGCAACCCACCTTATTTTTGTTCGATTTCTCTGTGACTGTTACTCTGACCGGATTCCTGAGACCTGCTCTGACCAGAGCTTCTACTTCATCTGTCTGTGTAGCAGAGAACAAACCCTAGAGAATATATTAAAAAAAAAAACAGTTTTAACTCAAAAGTTGCTGAATTTCTCTGTCCACCTCAGACTAAGGGCACAGTGCAGCAGTGTGGCAATAAGTACATTGTACTTTAATTTTTGCATATAAATTTTTGAAAAATCCTGTATCTGTCYCTAACCATGAAATCTTAACAATAGGAAGGCTAAACGAATGGGCTAAGCATGTATTTCTAGATATTTGTATGCGCACTTTTGACTTTTGACACTYTTGACAGTTTTTAAGTGTTTATCATTTACAGTTAATATATATTACAACTTACAGTTCTTCTTTGCTTTGGTAAAAATCCCAAGATTGAATTAATGCTGCAAATGAACAGTTTTCATATAATATATAGTATGCTAAAATTAACCTACATATTCAATAAAACAATGATTCTCAGATATTTTTTATCTCTAATCAGCAGGGCTCAAAATAACGGCCACACATATACAGGACAAGATGTCCTTCCAAATTCATTTTTGGAAGGTCATTTCTAAATTTTGAAGGACAAAAACTTTATTATACTATTATTTTCTTTTAATTTATAGGTTTTTGTATTCAGAAAGATCGACAAGCATTTTAATTGCTTGTAAAAGATTTATTTAGCGAATTGTGAATTGATTGTTCTTTTTTTATCTAAAAATGTGGCAGGTCAATTTGTCCTTTCAAAATCCGATTTGACCGCTCGTCCTAGCATATTTGAAAGGACATTGTCCACCGGCCATTATATCGAGCCCTGAATCAGAGATCAGTGATCACATTTTCTATGAGTATGTAAGGACTTTTGCACTCTCTGTGGTTGTTAGTGACTGTTTGCAATTTGTTTATCTTATCTTGCTTGTTATTATGCACATCTTTTATCTGCATAATATTGAATAAAGAAAAGGTTTTACCTTGCTGCAAACCCTAAGTCCAAGAGTCTATCAGCTTCATCAAGAACCAGAACTTCCTACACATGAAAAGCAACATCAAACATAGCAGATATAATTACATTTGTCATGACGAAAGATGTTTTTACAGTTATATGAACATTGCTTTCCAATATGCTGAAGTCAAGACATACATGTAAGATGACCATATTGTTTTCCCCTAAAGCCTCAACTTCAACCCATTGTCAACCTGTCAATCAATTTTAAAACCAATTCATATAAATAAATTATAAGAATGCTATCTTACCAAGCACTTGAGATGTGAAGCTAAATCTACTCCGTGTTGATGTTGTCTTGTTAATAAATCTTCCAATCGTCCAGGGGTTCCAATGACAATATTACCACTATCAAATGATAATAGTCACAATTATAAGATCTCTTGTTGATTCATGTAAAATTTACTCTGACTAGCAAGTACTTCATACAAACCCATTTTCCTTGAATCTCTTGACATCATTTGCAGTTTCTGCCCCACCAATAAAAAGCATATGACTAAAGAGCAAAGAACAGAGCATGTAAAATAATGATGTACAATTATAAGTATGATGCATTTTATAGAATGATATGCATCAAACTACTGACTACTTGTTACTGCTAGTAACAAGAAAAACTAACTTCAGTGACGTAATTATTATCCAATCAATCTCCAGACAGCCAGAATGAGAATAACCATTTCCTTGAAAAGTATAAAAATGGGGCAGGAAACAGAAAGATAAATTCAAGAAAGACTATTTGAGGGAAGGAAAATGGAAGAGAGTGATGTAAGAAGAATAGAAGGAAATCAGTGAAAGAAGTGAAAAAGAAAAGGAAGAAAAGAAAAGAAAAGGGACAGAGAGGAGAGATGAATTTAACAGAAAGAGCAAGAGATGAACTTCACCTGATGCCAATTGATTCATGTTCAAAGTGACCAAGGACCTCTTCAATTTGCTTAGCAAGCTCCCTTGTTGGCGTTATGATCAAAGCTCCAATCTGTTTTTGAATCAAGAAATGAGTAAAGAGCTTCACTCAAGATTGTCAAAACATTGAGAAAATTCAGTGTAACAAATAGTGCAGGTGAAAGGAACAAAATTTCAAAAGGCAATAAGGTACTCATACTCATTATATGGTATCTAACTGAAGCTGACGTCATTGGTTACTTAGTCAAACTGCCTAAGTGGTCCCAGTTAAAAGTGTYGTCATTGTAATAACTTGGGATTAATTATTAAATCTCTTTTTACCTCATGCTTTTTCAATTTGTCTTCCCTAAATATACAATACAAATACGGTTAAAAATAATCAACATACAAAAGCAAAAAATTAGCTGTTTTGCAACTTACCTTCTATTTAAAATCTCAATGATAGGGATTAGAAAGGCTAAAGTTTTTCCTGATCCAGTAACCTGTAAATTAATGAACATTCAGTTATTCTCACTCAGTATGGTCTATATAACACACACTTTTTCATTCGAATAACATGGAATAACTGGACATATAAGTTTTACAAATGKACATTGAAGGCTCTGATAGAAGACCTCTAATGTCAAAGAAAATTATCTCTATGTATGCGATTAAAAAAACAACAACAAAACAAAACAAAAAATTCAGGTTAACAATAGGCCTTTTGCATGAAACGGTCACATGGTACAAAATACAACATACTGGATGGCAAAATACCCACTGGGATTTTCAAAACAAAGAAAAGTCAAGCTTGATGGGCTGCGTTCCCTTTGTTTTTGAGGTTGTTTGCCATCCAGTATGGCGGATTTTGTACCATGTGACCCTTTCATGCAAAAGGCCTATCGAGCAAACTGAACCATGGGCAATGCATAGTGATGGTTCGGATCTTCACGCTCGATGTAAAAATTGTGCTTTGTGCGAAACCCTACGTTGATTGAAGTTGATTCCAATGATCAAACTATATTTATACATTAAATCTAATAGTTAATCACGCTAAGATACCGATTGACTCTCTTACTTACTGCTTCAACTGCTACATCCTTATTGGTCATAAACAACGGAATTGTTGCTGACTGTTGAAATAATATTAATAATAATAATCTTATTTTAAAAAGAAATTCACATGACCCTCTAGTCTGGCCGAATAAAAACAACACAATTTGCGTGATAACTGTACAAATATGAAACGCAAAACAAATCAATAGTTTCTCTACGAGCCTGAACGGGCGTCATTGTCTGAAATCCAAGGTTTTTGACAGATAAAAGAGTCAAATTGGAAAGATTTACGGAACATTCACTCCACGTGGCCGCCATCTTTGCGCAGTACCAAAATATAAACATTGATGTGAGCATGTTTTACTACCGCCTACGCTGGTCTACATATCTATGGGCTCAGTACGTCAACAAAACGAGGAATGAGAGAGAACTACTAAAGTATTTTATCTATTTTTGTCAATTTAGTCGAACGGAAGCGCAATTTCAAATACTAGTATTAACCAGAGCTTTCTAGTTATTTTGTAAGCTTTTGTGCATGCAGTCATTTCATCATATGTCCATATGAGACCGGAACCATTTCACCCAAGACATAACTGTGATTTTTATCACTTTCAGCATGGGTCTCGTAGCAGATAGGCCGTGAAAGGATTTTTTAGTATATCGTAATTAGATCTGATTTTTTTTATCTTGATTTTTTTCAAATAAAACTAGATTTTTCTTTTGGTACGTTGTTAAAATGTTGTTGTTATTTTCATTTTTCGTCTAAATAGATAATTATTGCTGATGCCTCTCCCAATTTTTAGGTACTCGCATGAAAACATATAACTTTAAAGAAATATTGAAATGAATATTGAAAGAAAAATTTTSTGACCTTCGTTTTGCCGCCATTCAAAGTTTTCAAGCGATTCCATTGGTTCCTTATCATTTTGACCTCTCATATACTTAGTTGTCATGACGATTACATGCGTCGATGATCACGTGATTTGTACCGGTATGCAAAGTTACTTTACCGCGCCCTCTCTTGACGGCCATTTTGGGCAAGACCGAGTGGATTATTTAAAATTTTCATCCTCTTCAATCTTTATATTTTTTAGCCATCGCTATGGCAGATAGGGACGARAACATTTATCAAGCTAAGCTTGCCGAGCAGGCAGAAAGATATGACGGTGAGTTTCGATTCTTTCGGCAATTATTTGAATTTGAAGCGCTTTCGCTTGTGATATTGTGAAATTTTGACAGAGACAAACAACGCTCCAATCTAGATCTCTTTCATTCTTTCTCGCTTTCTGACGATGAGTCATTGGAGATGTGTGCTATGAAATTCAGTATTTCATAGAGGATGGGAGATATCGCTGGTTATTTCACTGGTTCAATTCGTCTTTTGAAGGATTTTGATGAAGTTGACATATTGTTTACGTTTGCTCAAATCTTTGAATTTCGTTGTTATATATTTCAGAAATGGTTACTGCAATGAAAAATATAGCTGTGTCTAACGTACCCCTGTCAGTAGAAGAGCGTAATCTATTATCTGTTGCTTATAAAAATGTGATTGGAGCCAGAAGAGCTTCGTGGAGAATTGTTTCAAGCGTCGAGCAGAAAGAGGCTGCCACGGAAGGGGAAGGTCCAAAGCTGACAATGATGAGAGAATACCGTAAACAGATTGAAAACGAACTTCAGGAGATTTGCAAAGACATTTTGGATCTGCTAGAAAAACACTTGATCCCTTCGTGTCAAGACCTTAAAGACCATCAAGATGCGAAAGTGTTCTATTACAAAATGTAAGTGTTATTTTTGGGACACCAAACATTATAAACTGGATTTTAGACATAGTTATAGCTTGTGTTATTTTGTACAGCTCAAAGTGTGCAATATTTTTAACCTTATTTAGGCAAACGTAACGAAAAAATGTATAGTTGTGAATATTGCTTCCTTGTACAAGAAACTGTTTTTGTTATACAGAGTAATGAAGATTCAGCAGCTCATTGATTGTTATCTCTGGTATAACTTTTATTTTAGGAAAAGTGATTGAGACTGATTAAGAATTATGCTCATTTATACTTGTAATCTTTATAGGGCATGTTATGTCACATGCTGTACCAAATACATATTTTATGATATGGATATTTTTATAGTTGATTTTGTTGTGGAATCATTATTCTTGATACATGCAGTGTTAAATTAGACCACACGCTTTATCAATGTGCTATAATTTATTAACACAGTATACCTAGAGTGTGGTTTGAAATTGTGAAATGAGAGTTCATTCTTTCTCAATAGTCAGCAGGATATGTACTTCCTTGTAGTTTAATATTAACTGTCAAAATTCATTCATTGTTCTGCTGCTGCTGCTCCTTTCAGTAGAGTTTACAATCAGAACCCATTTCTGTATTGTAACTATTTCTACTCAATCAGTGCCTCAAACTTTCAGAAGATATTGCAAATCTTCAAAGAATTGTTCTTTTTACAAATAGAACATCTGTTTCTAATTAAAAAAAAGATTTTCAAAGTTATTTGACATTTTGTAAACTAAAATACTTCATGGGCTCAGAATCAATGAAGCCATACAATGGACCAGGGTTTATTCATCTCTTCTTATATGCTAAGAATGTTTTATTTTAAACTTATGTTTACATAAAACCTCTCAAAAATGACATAGTTTTGTCACTTGTTGGCACAAAACCTGCAAAGATCTACAAAATACAAAGCTTGGGTCCCAAAGTGTTCAGATTTAGGTTAACAGTCATGCTTCAATATTTAATTTTTCATTTCAGAAGCAATGTCTGTCAAAAGTATTAGGATCTTTAGGTGCTTAGCAGACCATAGCATTATTTACCATTTTGTATATCGTTTTGATAATGTAAAATTCTTTCCTTCATTTATAATAATTTGCTTAGTTCTTCATAACTACAATAATTAATGAATCTTCATTTCTTGTTTGCATTTTTCCTTCCGCACTTAATATTTCATATGTGTTCAACATGCAGGCRGGGTATACACATATCAAAGTTTGAGCTACAGTTTTGTAGAGCTTCTCTCYATCAATCATRCCAATTGCCCCATTTCCTCCAATCTCAACCTGTTTCTTTCTCCCAGGAAAGGGGATTATCACAGGTATGTTGCTGAATTTACCAAAGAGCCCGAAAAGCACAAAGAAGCTGCCGGACATTCAAAGGATGCCTACACAAAAGCCAAAGATGAAGCAGAGAGTCTGCCGTCAACAAATCCTATCCGCTTAGGTTTGGCCTTGAATTTTTCAGTGTTCTATTATGAAATTGAAAATGATTCCAAAGGAGCCTGTGACCTTGCTAAAAAGGCCTTTGATGATGCAATTGCTGAGCTGGATAATCTAAAAGATGATAACTACAAAGACAGTACGTTAATTATGCAGCTACTGAGAGACAACCTAACACTTTGGACATCAGGACAACAAGAAGACGGTGAGATACTATCATTATTAGAGTGGATTTCGTATGAGTAGGACACAGTTACCGCACAGTTACCGAACCTGGCCTGCACAATTTTGGTGAACCAGTGGGGCACTAGAATTTGGTTACAGTACGATTACAGTCACCATACCGTACCGTCCGTTTCCCACTCATAGGAAATCTGCTCTATTAAAACCATCCATCAACTACATGTATCCAGAAATGTTGAAGTTTGTTTGCTGTCCTTTTATTTATTTTTAACACCTGTTTTCGAAAGTGTTAACCTGAATAAATAGAAATCAAAGAAATTCAAATGAAATTATGCTTGAGGTAAATAATTGACCAGGCTTTCTAAGCTTTTCTTTATTTTGAGATCGTAAAACTGTCTGGTTGTGACTTCCTCATACTTTAGACATTAATATGAAAACCTAATTAAAAGTCTTTTTAAAATTTTATTTGTTTCTAAGTTTATGCAGACAGGTGTAATCAGTAGAAGATATATTCTGTGTTTCCATTCTTTGTTAGAAACGAGCAAGGTCGGGAAAACAGAAGCTAAATGATCTTATAAAATAGCAACAACTCTTTGCTTGAAAGCTGTGTTTCTATTCTCTCTAGACCAGAGAGTGCAAAAATGCATTTTCCTGAAAGCCTTCATAACWGAGATCTTCCCTTTTCTATGCATTAATTTAATTTAATTTTCTATTTTCAGAGTCAAAAGGTGATATTCAAGATGTTGAAAATGAAGGCTGATTCATTTTAGCAATTAAGTCAGTTGTGTGAATATACTTTTATGTACATGAATGTATTCTAATAGTGAAACAATTCAGCATTAGCATGTACTCCAGCTATGAACTTAATGATTTTGTAAGCAGACATTCCTAGTAGTTAGTCATATAGTCTTAGTCTTCCTTTGCATGTCTGTTGATGTTGCTCTGCATTGGATTCCACAATTTAACCATTCCTGGTCAAGGCAGGGGGGTGTCTTTTAAATCCTCTACAACCATGTGCATTTCCAGAATAACTTAATGGTATCTGTCTTTTAGAGCTTGTAATAGAAAATGTAGTCATTAGTTGTCAGTCTATTTACCAGGTAACAACCATATATTTTCAGATTACTCTTTAAGCTCAAGTTATAACATGCTTGCATTTTCCAGTGACATACAAAGTATATCCAACGGCAAATGTTTAAAGTGCTATTAATACTTCAAGTACATTTTTTGAAAACCAGTAGATACTAAGTTCTGGAGGGGTGTTGGTACCCGATTTGTCTCCTAGGTTCTTGTATGTTATGTCAGAAGATGATCATGTGTGGTTTAAGGTATTCTGGTCTGTTTTACATCAACATGTCAATAAACAACAACATTTGATTTCATGCACGTGTTGTAAATGATTATAAAACCCAAGTGGATGGAAATCAATAATATCCCTTCTAGTATTATTTTCCCAAGTATCTGCACTGCATGATGGTAGTGAACATTTTAAGGAATTGTACATTTCACAGTATTGAAGGTAGACTTGGCATCAAATCAAGACTGGTTGATCTTGTAAGGATGGATAAGTTCACGCTCTCTTGCTTTGATGCAAAGACTTAGTTACCTTTCAAAATTGTACTGGGAACTGAAAATTAAGAGTATTATACTGTTGGCTCTAGATGTTTTTGAAGTTCTTCATATGGGATAAGTTTGTCTTGGTGTTTGTCCAGTTGAATGTGAGATCTGAACTCCAATGTACTACAAGTCGGGATTATTGCTGAGGCTGGGGCTTCCAAACGGACTCTAATTGCCCGTTCCGAAATTCAAAAAGGGACTGGTTACTAGTCACAAACTCGATACAGTTTGAAGCAATCAAAAAACAGACACAAGGACAAGAAAGAGAGCATGCTAAAATTAGTAAAGCTGCTGAGTTTGAGTGTATTCGGATTAATAATTACAGAGTCTTAAGCRTTTTTAAAAAACTAGAAAAAATTACAAAGAATGTATGGTGGTTTTGAGCAGCGTCCCCAAAAACCATACATATGATACATTCTCTCTTATTTTACAAATTTGAAAAAATTCCTASTCCTCGAGTATTCAACCAAATAGTATGCTCAAACTTGACAAGAACGCTTRTTTTATGTGGTCTTTCATGTGGTGTTCAGTTTTCGATGAATGTAATATTTTCACACTCGTTCCCAGTCTCCTTTTGAATTTTGGAATGACCAATAGTCAATGGAATAGAAGTTATTTTCCTTGATGGCCTGGAATGTCATTTGACTAGTCCATRATAGTTTTACGACTCAAAGAAAAACTCAAAAATCTGCAAAGTTTGAAAATTGACTTGAGTAGAAAATTAGATCACTTTTCTTCTGTCGCAAAGCACAAGAGATGGAACAGCTTAACGTGGGAAAAGCTAGTTTAAGGCAAAGCAAAAGCAAAAGGCAATGAACGTTCAATGATAGTCTATGTTTATTGATATTGAGTCATTTGATTACATCGTATTCTAAGAATTCTTTTYATAATCACTTGTCGCTACGTGTAATTCTTGTCTTCGGGTTTCCATTACAGTAGATCGACCTGCAAAGTATCATTCAGAGAAAACATCATCCCGTGTCTTTTTTGAGGTTACAAAAATCAATAAAACCGTAGACGTAGTGGTGCCTGTCAACCTATAGACTCGTCCCCACGATGATGTCAATATTGTTGTATCCACACAACTCTGTAATTTTCACGACCTTTCACATACAGTGGCATACCTAAAAGAACTCTGAATACGGGTACCGCGCGGAAAGGTTAGGCACAGGGCGGATCCAGGCTGCAGTCAGGAGTATTGTTTATCTTATTTTTTACTTATATTCTTGTTTCACTCTACGTTAGCATCAAGGGTTTAGCTTATATTCGACGCTTTTATCTTTATGCATGAAACTGGCATAAACTGCACTCTTCTGTTCCCTGGATTGAACATTGCCGCTTGCGATCATCATTGACCGATTGTCGGCCAGTGCAAGAGCGTCTGAAATTATTATTTGGCAAGAGTTTCAGTTGCAGCAGGATGTTTCGAATGTGACATACTCACCTAATTACAACCAGGGTTGCACGTTCGATAACAGTTATTCTGCATATACGTACGAAGGCGTATCTGACCAGTGTTACATCCTCTTAAAAACTGAGTGCAAATATGAGAGCTAGCCAAATCTGCACAAGCTGTTTTAAAGCAACATACATTTTCYTTACTTAWTAWAAATGTGCCATAATGTCAATCCGCGCCGTTTGAGYGAAAATTCACCGATCAACACTTACGTGGACACATTTTCCCATTTGGTTTGTTGGATATTATTGGGGGCTTTCCGTTCCAACAGCATCGATAAGGACCACACATTGGGGGACTTGGGGCCTCTGTAATACGAAAAGACTTGTGGTTAAGAAACAATGAAAAAATTACTGAGAAAACTACACAAAAAGCAATAAAGCAATGCTCAGGAACGTACGATGAAGTCTTTTGAACACTTAATCAGGCACTCTAGGTTGATTGTTTTTTTTGCTATMATTGATAGAGAATTGAACTTATTATATGTGCAGTATTTTACAATATGTGTTGAGCAGATCCATGATTGACYATTCATAGGACAGTATTGGTTGACCACTTACTGCAGATGTTGCAGCTCCATGCACATTTTTTGGCAATGTCGTAGGTTGGTTCATCGCAATATTGGATCATATTCCSACAGTAAACATCACTGTACACATTATAGCATAATTTATCTAAAACAAATATGAACACACAGTTGAATATCCCACTTTCTGGATAGCTGTCACACGCACATAAGAACTGAAGACCAGATTCCGAGGAATATAACGTCATTATATCTACTGTTTCCACGGAGCCTCGTCTAGATTTTGTGGAGGGTTATAGTCAACCAAAGTAACGAAAGTGGGCTTAGTACTGATTAGGTTATGTAATGTTATATTGATCAGTGCCGGTTGCGTTTCGAGCTCAAAACGCGGTTTCAACATCAAAGATACCGGAGAGGATTTGGGGTACTCTAAAACCAGACATGCGCATTGATGCAAAGAGAGTTACAATGTGTGGAATGATATTTGCCTCCCCATGCAACCTACTCCCACCCCACCTCCCTTCCTAGTCTTAGATTCGGTGGTATAAGCTTTCAGATCCCAACGCCTTTTCAATAAGATGTATAGAATGCATATACTTGATAAGGAATACGGTAGAGCTTGTCCTTTCCTACTTCTCGAATCTATTCAGTCTCCTTTGCAGCCCATCTGCATGGGTTCCCAAGGATACCGTCACGTACTACTCACATGGGCAATTCTGYAGATCAGGTCCATCAGCAAACGTTTTTTTATCGGGACAGCACCAGTCAAAAGTCGTCTCACAATGATACTTCATCCAAGMTGGTGGCAAATTATTTCCATTGGACGGTGTGAGGGATTTCTTCAGACCATAACAGGAGTCTTTGGTTATGTTATATTTGGCTATCATCACGTGGTTTAGTCGATCGCGACTGAAGCATTGGTCCTCTCCTAAATATTGAAGATAAGTAGGAATCTACTATATCCTTAGGATCTACAGAATAGTCGAGGTCTCTGCTACATACCCTGATTAATTAAAAAGTACTTTCAGAGTCGTTCCTTAAAAGGGGGGACTCCGGAGTAAAGATCCCTAAAAGATCCCGGAAATCTTAAAAAAAGGGCGTGGCTGACTGATTTTTAATCCCTAAGAGATTGCATAACAACAGGAGCTAGTAGTAATGGGCTCCTGACAACAAATATTAAAAATGTACGCAGGGGAAAATTAATATCGATTCGCTCTTTCTCTTTTTTTCTAACACCCTAAGGGATACAGAAAAAACAAATTTCCAGAAACTCCAAATTGGCACCCTAACAAGATTCCTAATCATGAAATTGTACCCCTAAAACTGATCCGACGAGCATCGCAGCCGATGCAGACAGTAATGTAGTAACTATAGTTTCAATTCGTTTGGTTTTTGACAACTGCCTTTCCACCCCAACAAAGATCATGGTCATCTTCTTACTGCAAGATTCTAGCGTTAATTAACATCAACGGTTAGCATCGTTTTATTACCTTTACAACCTTGATTAAAAGGTCCACTGGCCATTTTCCCATTGGAACAGTAATATCCACACATGCTCGCGCAATTCATCTTCATTTCATGCACTTTATTCCTKTGCGTGCAGAATCCCTTTTTCATGTTCGCGTAGCACTTACTGCATGACCAGACATTGCGCATACAAGGATCTGAGGAAAAAAGTGTACAGTAAAAGGTGTCATCTTCGCGGATATCTAGGATATTACAAGCTCGGGATGGGTAACTCAAGAAAAACAATATGAAAAGGTTAGACTTAAAGGCTGTYGAAATGAGATGTGAGATGAACGCTGCTTTTTTTGTTACTAAAACAGAAAAGAACTAGAAAAAAGCAAACAATAAAAGTAGCAGCCAGAATCAACTTTTACGACTAAAAAATTTTAGGTCGAGGGATATATACAAAGGAAAGAGAGATGGTCGATTGGATTGCATGTGGACGCATTATTATTATCATTATTTTATTATTATCATTATCATTTCATTATTATTATCACTATAAAGGAAGCGAAGATGTAATGAAATTTTTATAAGATGATGAAACCTGCTGAAGGTACTTCTGGCGCACACAACCCTAGACCTACCTTGGGATTGGTCCCCAAACGCTATAGCATGTGATGCAAAGAAACTGATCGCAATCCAAATAACTGAAACACTGTGTTTCAACATTATGAAGTTGTCGAAGAGCAGTGGCAATGTTAGCGCACGACTCGYGCAACCACAGAACCAAGGGATGTTCCAGCTAGGACCTGTGTGCTTTTTTAACGTCCTCCGTAAAGACTAAGTACTCATTAATCTAGATATCGGCGCGCTAATTGCTAATATAATAGCTTCAGTAAAATAAGTCATAAATAAGATTTATTGAGCAAATACAGTTGCAATTCTCTGAGTCAACATGACACATTAGGGAAATTGCAGATTATTGTCTAAAGTCTTAAACTTAGCAATATATCTTTTATATAAGTTTTTTTATGCTCTAACAGGGAATCAGATCAGAATGTGATATACATCCTCGCCCCACACTTCATATCCGCGTTTCCATCCAGGAGAGGTGGGGGGGGGGGATGGTGTGCTTCCATGCAGACTCTCTCCTCTGCAGGTGATTCCGCGCATATTGAATATTAATACCTAATTTCACCGAACTAGCATATTTTCGAAGCAGAAAAACTAGCTGTGCGCTGCTACGTGAAAAAATATAAACAAGCGCGAACAGAAAGTTGTCAAAAGGTTGAGGGTTCAGTAAAAAAGTTTTATGCTACTCAAATCACTAACTCCGATAAGTTGGGTCTCTGAAGATCAAGGTCATACGACGTGGCATAAAAAAAGGTTGAGTAAGGTCAACAAGTGAAATTGAAAGCGTRGTTGAATATTTATATATCTGACATGTGTAAAAATATATCAAATTTAAGAGCTGTATCTAAAACCGTGCACCTGTCGAGGAAAAACAATCTGTTCATACAAKTGCCGGATAATAGAATATTGGAGATGTTGAAGAATAGATAAAATCATACTGACAGAAAATRTGTCTCATACTAGCACTCGGAATTTTCAGTTTTTATGTATCTTAAGCTGCATGAGTATGTGCTATCTAAATTGGAGCGAATGGCAATAGCCGTTAGCCGCTTTTCCCGGACACGTCGTAGGAGCCGATGCCTCTTGCGCCGGCGAGATTACTGAAGAGATTGTACAGTTGATCTCGACCGGCATTTCTTGATACATAGTTTTCAGGGATCGGCAGAAACATAGACAAATAAATTCCATGTTTTTTTCTGTAAATTGGAAAACGCGATACCTTTCTCAATTTMTTTTTTTACCAAACTTTCGTTGACTGTAACGGCAAAAGACCGTATGATTCATTGTCACAAATTAAAGTGATTTGAAAGTATGAGTGATAGCGAGAGCGGATGTTGTCATAGTACTGCAGCGCCCCACTCAGTTGGCAACTAAGTGAAGTAACTGCATGATTTACAAGCACTTTGAGGCAAGCAGCTACAAAGCTAACTTGGAATCACATTCCAAACTACGAATCGGCGTATGTTCAGGTTAATTCCATTTAAAGTAATATTCCAACCTTTTGCACAAAGTGTGCACAGCTGAGTTACTTCATGACGGCTGCAGCGCTTTCCAGACTAACCGGGCGACGCCTCTTGCTAGGCAGGCGGTTCTGTCTATATCAGATTATTCAGCATTTGCATTATAAGGGCGATAGGTGCGCATCGTTGTATTGCTACATTTCTCCTGCTCTGCTGTTAGAGGAGGAAAATATAAAAGAAACTCTCGTCAGGATCGCGACTATGCAAGCTTTTCTCGGCGATGAGGAAACATTTCAATTATTTGAAACGGACAGCTTTAACAACCAAAGCGGTGATACACCAAGACTGCCATCTTTCGAAAAGATAAATAGATTAGCAGCAACTAAATTAAAGAAACGGGAAATAATTAAGGAATAGGTCGTAACATAGGTACATGTAACGCTCATCGAACGAAAGAATGCGAAAGATGGAGAAAGACGATGCGAGAACGAGAGAAAAAATTGAATGAAGCACTATGAATGTCTCTTAAATGTCTTAAAAATGTCTCTAAAAGAATGTCGGTTAAAAATCAATAAGATTTGATTAGGAACAGAAAAAGTTTTGTTCCAATTCGGAGAATATTTTTTTCAGAGATCTCGATCGGTAAAATATATTTTGAGGGACCTCGTGATCACACTGCAGGATTTGTTTGGGGATTTTTTTCAGCAAAGGMTTTTTAATTTGACTTTGTTTTGACATTTTTGCCGTAACATTGTTTTTACTATAATAAAAGCCAGCAAAGAAATATAGTTAACGGAAAAGAACGAAAGAAAAATTCCTGAAAAAAGGGCCAAAAAAGAAAGTCAAAGAAAAAAAGGAAGCATTAAGAAGAAATTAAAGAATTTTAAATGTTATTTCTAAATCTTTACTTAGCAATTGTTACAAAATTGATAAATAAACATAAAATTAAAATTGATAAATAAACATAAAATTACATTTGAATGAAGTTTTTGGAGTATTTTTGTTTGTTTCCGTAGCAACACSAAAGTACTTCAAGTCACGTGACCATGATCCGAAAATCAACATCATAGTGGTTTAAGTCGCCGTTGGAAGGCTTGAAAATGGCTCTATTTTATTGGAAAATCGGCGTTAATGACTTTTCAATGTAACTACTGAAAGGTTATTTTTATATATATTTTAAAAAGTTCTGTCAACCTTTGTTTAAAGAAGCTTTATAAAGAAGAATCGTTCGACAACGACTGCTTCGAAATCAAAAACCTATAATCAAGGTAAGCTTCAAAATCACGCAAAATGAAAGTTCCTCTGCAAGTTAAGTTGTTGTATATGTAAGAAACTTTCTTCTCTATTGCTATTACTCCTTATAGTGTTCTAATTTACTAGTAATTTTGTATAGTAAGCTTTTAGAGAATCTGAGATCAGATGCGAAGCATCGTCATGAGGCCGCGATCGTATGGCGCTGACTTTTCGGAATCGCAATCCTGATACACGCGAGCGAGTATAAAGTATAACATATCCCTTGTAACACTAGTTAAAACGTTAATATAATTCAAATTATCCAGGTTTGATTGAACTGTGTTGTTTTTGACATTAATGGATGATTTTTTGTCATTTTAGAATCGGTTAATCTCGTCTTTATGTTGCTCTTTTGCGAATGTTTGGTAATCATGTGTAACAAATGAATGATTTCTGTATATTTTATCTATTCAAATAGAACAATTGTTTTAGTGTTTAAAGTGTGCCKTAAAGTCCTAYTGTTTGTTTTCGCGATTGTTGCTAACAGTCACATAATCATCGATGTTAAAAAAGAAGTTAAACATATGTCAAAGTATCACACTGACTTGGTRTAAGCTTTAACGACCCTTTTTGACAAGCAACATCACTTCAGAATTGTCAAAAACAAAGAAACAATCTTGTTCCTGGACAAAAATATCCAACAGAAATGTTTCTTTGACAGCTAGGCCAACCTATAATATGTATTTTATCACATAGACTGGAGGGAAAACATTAAAATTCCAGTAAACCAGTGTATATAGACAAATATATCAATTTCCACCAAAGGGGGCATGATATATCAAATATATTACATCCCTTTGGGATCGAATTAGCAATAAGGTTTATTTCACCAGTAAACCCCTTCATTAAGCTATTGTTTATTGCTTTTGAATTATAGCCGGCGTTATATCTACAAACGCAGCTAGGTTATAAATATGCTGAAGGTGCTAATTCCAGTWTCTMGTCMAAAACAGCCATAAAGGGCTAAGCCAAGCCAGTGCCCCGCAAAGTTTTGGGGTTAAAATTTATGTTTTACTTGGTGAATTATGCAGATTTTGGGATAGTAGGAATATAAGGCTTTCTTCAAGGGAATTAGGATGGAGTACTGGCACGGGGCCTCTCTACCTATGACCATGTGTCTGACTCAGAGTTGTCTCCTTTGCAGTGACCTATTTTGTCTGGCTTCCTGTACACTCAGAAACTGCTCTATTCTATTTCAGGATACTGGATAATAAAAATAATAAGCATATGATACTTTATATTTGAAGAGAGTACATTGTTATTAWTGTTAACTCTGTTTTCAGAAATCCAAATGGATCCAACAAAGACTGTTTCAGAATAACTAATAATTGATATAACTCTGCCATATATTCCTGACTGTTGAAGACATGGGTGCAGGTTGGTGGGCGTTTCCAATTTTTCTGTTAAACATTTACTTTCAAAGATATTCAATTTATATGGTATCTTTGTGTTATTTTCAAGCTTGTACTTGTATGCCAGCATGCCATTCCAACCGTGTGGAACAMGTAAAGATTACTGTCAACAGGTAATTACCATCAAAACTCTAATTCTATTGTTGAACTTGGGAGGTAGAAAGTGAGGGTTATGTATGGGAAGGGGGGAGGGGTGGGTCACTTATTAATCTGGAAARTGGGTTGAAACAACAGGACATTCTCAAACAGGGACATAAAAAAGGAAGGAATAATGAAAAGATACATCAATCCTAGCTGTCTTAACAAGCAAAAGGCCAAGATTTATTAAAAGTCATCCAAATATGTTTTTCACATATCTTTGTATCACACGTCACTCATAATTGTTTTARTATTAATGCCATAGAAATTTGATTACTTAAATTCAATATGGTATTCGGCTTCAGGTTTACATACCTCAGTTCGATTCCTAGTATGGCAATCACATTTGTCCTTAGACGAGACATTTTTWAAAAAAATTGTCACTCAGTGGTCCCCCCTCCAAAAGAAAAATGTTCAGTCTGAGATGAGATTGGATTACCTGTGGTGACCACTGGCAAGGAAAGGCTGGAAATGAGGAATGCTAGTTCCCACCCCCACCCCCCTTTTTAAAAACTGCTCTGCTGTCAATGCAAATGAATAATAAAAACATCCTCAAGCTCATCTAAGATGTGGGCTGATGCAAGACATCTCTCAGTTGGACGGGAAAGAGGGAGGTGGAGTTCCAATTGAAAGGTYTTGAGATAAGCACCGCACAACTTCACACTGAAAGTGGGAAATATCCCTTAGAAAGGGGAAAATGATATATTGAATAAAACTAATACTATTCAGCCTTCCAACCATCTAGATTGGCTAAGAAAGATATAAACAGCACAAAGAGCTAGCACAAATATTCCCAGAAAGCAATRACATCTGCATTTGGTGTTAATTTAGTTTTATAGAGATGGCAGAGATTAACAATTCTACGTCGTAAAAGTCGATGACACATTCTTGAAAGCAAACAAAAATGATCGTAAATTGATCAACCAACCTGTGATGTCCAGCAATCTTTCATTATATTTATTTTAATGGAAGATAAATTCACTTAAATTGAATTCGAAAACTAATAATTCTTACCTGCAAATCAACAGACAAAATGTACATCCTTAACAACMGTTTTTACTGTTTTTAAAATCTGAAAAACTTTCCCTAGACAAAGTAGGAAATATCAATTACAAAGAAGTAAAAACACAATGAGTGGAATAAGGAAGGAAGGAAATAAAGAAAAAAAACACCAAAGAAAGAAGTAAAGAAAGATTGTAGACATTATGGCTATGGGTCTCGTTAAACAAATCACAAAGATTCAACACCTGAAGTGCTAATTGTACATCTTTTTGTTTTACTGGGAATATGGTGAGCTAGGTTTTTTTACAACCCAATAGGGAATTGATCGTTATCTAGCGATTTCTATTCAAAAKTTTAGCTGCAAAATTAGCTAAAACTTCGTAATGCTTTTAAGTATTGCTTGATAATAGATCGTGATCACTCTCGATGTTTTGGGTACGTTATGAAAAACAGATAGCTTGATATGTCTTGGTTTAAAACAATATTCATAACGTTAATAATTTATGGCGATATCCAGCTTTCATACTGTTTTTTTCCATATAATCTACAAAGAGGTGACCACTATGGTATGAATGTTTAATAGTGATCCTACGACGATAATAGTTTATTTGGTATTCACTCCAAAATCCTCTAGAAACGTTTTGACCAGGAGGCGGTTAATCACTTGCGAGACATATTGAGTTTCTCAACGTTATGAGAGTGATGATGACTAAAGTGCTTTCCTAAACGAAAGGAAATATTTTTGTGTTAAAAATAGCTGAATACTTCACATTTAAATCAGTGTGACTATCTTTCTCTTGTAAAACGTCTCGCTACAAGAGCCCGAGTGCGACAATCTTCTAGTCTTCTTCGGTAAGTTTAGAGTTTTTTGCCATTTTCCTTTTTTATGGGAATTATTTKAAAGACGTTTACAGATGCAACACTGCAAACATTATGCACGTTATATTTCYAAACAAAATGGATTTCATGTTGAAAATTCGCTCCTCTGTGTATAACTGAGCTGCAGAGTTCCTTTGGCTTTGGCGGAGCATGAATAATACATTTGAGGGAATCATTCTTCGCAAAATAACTATCAGAGTTCCGCTAAATGTTTTAAAACATTCATTTGATATTGAATCGATATTTCTAATTGTTTCCAGTGAATCTTTTTAAAGTTTTATATTTCTTTTTTTCAATTAATATACTCTTTCTTGCCAGAAGCTGCGAATGGTCTAAATGGAAAAATTATGAACTCATTTTGAATCTGCTCACAAGGCAGTGTTCAAATTATTGGAATTTCCTCATTTTTATGAGTATTAGTAAAAAGGCAAATCGTTTCGRAATCTAGAAATGTGTTGATACACACATAACCACAAATCTCGGGGTCAAATTCTACTTAAGCTTTAGCTTTGGACACGTTTCTTCTAGGCATTCCTTTGATATTTGTTTTGAGAAAATTCGTATAAATTGCCTGTTTTGACTTTGTTCCTATTTTATGTCTTTTTCCTCTTTCTTTGGTTATGCTTTTCGCATTCCTGCTTTTGTGCTGTCAGAATTTTCTTTTTTCTTAGGTCGTCTTGTTTTTTCTTCCTACTGCATTCTTTTTCGGTCTCATTTCAAAGTTGAAAGACGATAGCAGTTGTGTCCTTGGCACATGATGACATTTATTTTTCTCGAGATGAATAAAAATAGGTTTAGTTTCCAAATCGCGGGGGATGATGTATTGTCATGCCTGACCGGCCCCACCATTCGAGTCATTTGCATACGATGAAATTCTTGAAGTGACAAACAAGACAAACAAGGCATTTTGGCCTTCGTCTTGATCGAAAGTTGACTTGATAAGAGCTTTTGTAATCCAGCCAGATAGCAGAACCTCTGATAGGACAGGGTGGTGAAAATTTTCTGCCCTGCAACATTCAAAAACCTCTGTCGTGGACCTGCAATGTGCTGTGATTTTATAGACATGAAGAAAGTTCGTCGATTTACACAAAGCTTGTTCCGTAGAAGGTAAAAAGCTGATTTAAATTGGTTTGTTGAACATTAATGTACCGTTTTGAAATATTTTTTTTTGTACACGCATTCTCGTGTCCAAAAGTTGACTTATCGGAAACTTTACGATAACTTCAAATTATATATACATCAGAAGATTGTGATTATAAATTATTTGGTATTGACATGAATACATTGACCCTCTGCGAATTAACACCAACTTTAAACCTTACTTAATATACCATGTTGATCATAGTTTAAACATGCTTCAATTAACTAAATATCTGATATTTAATACGTGCGATAATCGCTGAGTTCAATGTAGCCAAATCGTCTAGTGAAAGTGAATCTACAGTCTTATAATCATAATATTCATTGAGATTGTTTGAGCAGAAGTGACCAGTCAAAGCGATTTTTAGAGGGCAAACAACGAACATTTCTTGAACACGTTGGACAGTTGTAAGTGTTTAGTTTGCTTATTTATCCACTCACCAGCGGAATCAGTTAAGTGAATTGAAAATCGCTTATCATAAGTGAAATCGGAAGCAGAATCTTCAGAATATCCCGGATGAATGTACGGCAAAACAATATGGCGCCCGACATTAATTGTTTGTTTTTACGGTGTAAAAACCTGGAGAGACATTAGGGCATGTTCCTGCAAGGGCCATTAGAGAGTGTTGTTATTAATATTCCAAGCTATTCTCTTTCTCTGCGGTCATTCTGGTTTTCACTTTATTTTAATTCATCGGGGTATAGGAGTCAGAAGGGGACTTCTTTCGTTGCTTTCCACTTCGCACAACCTTTCAAGAAAGTCTTGAAAGGGCTTTTTATAAAAATGAGATCGCCGTTTTGTCTAAGCTAGTGCGCGAAAAAAAATTGAAAGAACAACTTTAGCCAGAGATGAGATTGGATTACCTGAAGTGGACCCTTCCCACCACGGTAAAAAAATGCTCTGCCGTCGCTGCTTTTACAACTACGTTTTGTGGCGCTTCAGACTCCAATACTAATACTACTGTCGACTTCATCTCGGATTCTTTCGCATAGGGGCCTTTTAATAGATATTTTATATGCCTCCTAGCAGTATAGCCTTATAGATTCATTATGCCATTAACCCAATAAATAAAAACATGATAGGTCGTCCCTTYTAAAATATACATGACAAAACCATGACATTCCTCCTTCCCACGATTATATTGTAAATGAGCTCTAGGTATTAATTAATTTAGCAGCATTGCATGGCATCGTGATATATTTTCATTTAGCGGTTATCTAGATTTATTCAGTTTTGGTGAAAGATAAAAAACCCTCAAAATCCCGAGCCTGGCTTGAGTCTCTGTGTACTTCCAGTTTATGTAGCGTGTGTTAGTTAAGTGTTGACTATTTTTGGTTTATTAGTCCGCGACAGGTGTGATTAATTAGTTCTTCTCAGTGGTTAAGCTATATAGCACGTGAAAAATARGTTAGGTTATTTTTACTCTCTTTTTGTGCATTGGATAGACGAAGCGTCATCAGGCAGGTGAAATTCACTCATACGAATTAAAAACACTTCAGTCTGTAAAACCGCCATAACACCTTTACGCGTTTAGATGAATTATGAGGAGTGAAAACGGCAAAACAAGATTATTTTTAAACCGATTATATTTCTAACGTCTGGAGGAGTTAGGCTTTCAGCTTAAACACGTTTTGAAACCAGTGTTGCTTCACTCAAAATAGCGACATATTATCATATGGCAAAATTGACTGGAACATGATGTAGGCCATCTCATTGCTCACAAGACGAATTACGGAGGGGTGACATATAAAAAATATATCCATATTTTATTAGTGTTGGTAACAAGGTTTATATAGTTATTTCTGATAATCCCTTTGTGTTTTCAGACCAGGAAGTCGTCCAGGTATGGCTGAGAACGGCTCTAACAAGACAAGRAATGGCTTARTGCATGTAAACAACTACGTTGAACCAGTCCGTCCTAGCAAKACGCAGACCAAACACAAACAGAATGACAKCAAACCAACAAAGCGAAACAGCACCCCCCGGATCGAGACAGAGCCTAAAGAGAAATCTAATAGTCAATCACAAGTTACTACMACCGCGTCAGGGTCGGGTTTATTAGGTGCAGGATTAGAAGCCAGTTTYGCTTCGTTAAGAAGAAGCTCTGCAACACCTGACCTGGCAAAACGAAATGGAAAGGCAAATGAGGCTTCCGCTGCTTCTCACCCCAACAGTGCAGGTTCAATATCTACAGGCTCGTCGCCAAGACTACCAAGACCGCCGACCGTAGAATCGAAAAGTGTCTCAATTCACGAAAGTGAGGTAATCAAATCAGTCAGTAAAACTCCTCGGTCGCTTCSAATCGGCGTGTGATGCATTGACATCGACTGAGTACTCTAGATCCGACTTTTTTGCCGACTTTAAAACTCTCTGATCAAGTCTCTGACTTTGCTGTTTTTTTTGTTTTTGTTAGAATTATACTCATCTAAACCAATACAAGTTAATGGATGAAATTGGAAAGGTAAGTGGCTATATAACATGTATTTTTATAAAGCATTAAAATGCTTTATTAAAATGTGTTATTAAATCCTTTATTTGTGTTGTGCAGGGCTCGTATGGTGTTGTGAGATTGTGTTACTCAGAATTTGATCAGGCGAATTATGTAAGTGTGATTAATTATTATCATCTTTGATTTAGTCGTATAATTTGAATAAAATGATGTAAACTTTAGTAATAAAATATGTAGGTATTATCATTATCATATGATGATTATTGTTATTATCATTATCGCATTATTATTGTTTTCATATTCACTTTTTTAGGCAATGAAAATTATCTCCAAGAAACGAATTATGCGGAAAGCTGGGCTGCGTAAGTATTAACACGACTCTTTTTAACTCTCTTCTAAGTGCTTCTATAAGAGGACCTAGCGCATTTATTATTCAGATTTACCGTGGTTTCCAGAGTACCACAAGACTCTGGATTCCAGGGTGGAGCCTTTTCTGCCTCAAAGAGCGAAAACCTTTGTATAGTTTCTCACAAAATCTAATACTACTGAAGCATGTGCTCTTTTCATACTGTACATTTTAATTAATTCCGCGATGTATTCCAGGGAGACCAAGCGATAGAGGTAAAAACCCAGGGCTTGAAAATCTACAACGGGAAATAGCAATATTGAAGAAAGTCGACCATCCGAACATTGTACGCCTTTTCGAGGTAAGATTCTTGTTTTTTAATAGACTGATAGTTCMATAAGTGGTAGTATTCGCTCCCCGATTTTTCGGTTTGTCGACCTGTGAGCGACAAAAATATCGACAGAGAGGGAACTGGTACCGACTTATGGAATCAGTCTAGTTTTTTTAACTGCGAAAAAACTTTTTATAAAATGATTATACATGAAAWAAGTATATATTGCCTATATTTTTCTGAAATACACAATCATGGTGCATTGTTGGCAGCATGAACAAAAGATGTTTGTACCGAATCTAGACCACAATGCMATGSCAACTGCTRTGATAGATAATCTCAGGCCTATGTAATATCCTCTATGTATCGCGATAAACAKCGAAGTGTTGTTTTCGCATCCATCGATTTTACGTGAAGGACAAGTCGTGAAGAGCATTTTCGTATGATTGACAAGACTTGMAAGTGATTCAAGATGTTTGAAAATGATAYTTGAAAATCTTTATGAAAYCGTTATTGTTTCATCAGGTACTTGATGATCCAGCAGAAGATAATCTTTATTTAGGTATGTTTCAATGACCTGATAAGACTGAAACAAAACGAGTTATWCCCGAGATCAACTACTAACTTAAAACGTTTCCCTTTTCAGTTTTTGAATTGATGGACAAAGGGTAAGTAYATGAGCGAACAAAAACGGACAAAAACWACAATTGCAGACTAGACTAAACAAACGGACAAACAACAGCATAAAAACGAAATTTTATTATGCTTGGCCTGTGTCAAACGTCCACTTGGATGCTGAATTTAGAMYCGACCCAAATGATTTAGTTCTTCRGTTAGGTATCCRCCCAAACGTCTCACTACTAAAAGAAGTTATTAAATGAGTTCAAAAAACGTTTTCATCCTAATTTCACACCATATTCTAAACCGTTTAATTRTATGATTTTTATTCTCACAGAGAAGTCATGGAAGTTCCTGGACCACAGTTGCCACAGGAAACCGCTAGAAGTCACTTTAGAGATTTATTGCTAGGGATAGAATATTGTAAGTATTTAACATATATATTATGTATATATTATTAGCTTTCATTAGTTATTGATATTATTGATTCATTGTTTTAAGTACACTATCACAAGATTGTACATCGAGATATCAAACCTTCAAATCTTCTTCTTGGCGACGATGGAAGAATTAAGGTAATGAGTTGAACAAGATTTTTCAAAATGTCTATTTAATGATTTCATTTTCATGAATTCCGCTGTTTTTCTCTCTCATTTCTCCTCTTCTGGGTGGCAAGGGTGGCCTAGTGGTTAAGCTGCTGGCCTCTCACCACTGTGGTCCGGGTTCGATTGCCGGGCACGGACCATATGTGAGTTTGAGTTTGTTTGATGTGTTGTTCTCTCCCTTGCCACGAGGGTTTTTCTCCGGGTCCTCCGGTTTTCCTCCCTCAGTAAAAATCAACAAGTGAGGAGTGATGTGTGCTAAAATACTTAAAGTAGAGGTAGTGAGTGTGAGAGTACAGGGTCCGCAGTAATTGGCTCACGCTGTTGCGGTGTCCCTGCCCATACTAGGGGCAAAGCTAATAAATTAAAAATTAAATTAAAATTCTCCTTTTGGTTCACCTCTTCTTTCCCGGGCTTCCTGAATCTCCCTTCCTTTCTTTTTATTTACTTTCTTTCTTCATTTCCCAATGTCTTCTCTTTTCCATTTCATTCATTCTTTTGTTACCAGTTACTCCATGTCATCTTCTTAAGATATAAATTATTGTGGCTGTCCTCAAACAACYGATTTCTGTTTTCTATAATTTGGGTAAACCATTGCGCTGTGTTTTGTTGTTTATCTTAACTTGTCTTGATGTCTTAATCCATCTTGCCATCATTTACACTTTACGTTGTTTTACATGCTAACAACATTTTTTTCAAGATTGCCGATTTCGGTGTATCGGATGTATTTGATGGCGATGACGCGCTGCTATCAAAAACTGCAGGCTCGCCGGCATTCATGTCTCCTGAATCACTCCAAAGTAAGTCTTGCACATGGTCTTTTTGTATTACCAATGGACGCCATTATCTAAAGAACAATAATAATTATTTGTTTGTTATCTTGTCCATTTGTTTCTTTTATCTTTTCATTCATTTCTTCACTTGTTTCTTTGCTGAAGTATATGTATTTGTTTTTTTTTTATTGTTTATTTGAGATATAGTAATCATAGTAACTTTGTTTTACAGCCACGCGTGACAAGTACTCTGGTAAGGCATCTGATGTGTGGGCGATGGGAATAACTCTTTTTTGTTTCGTGTATGGAAAGGTAAGACTTGATAATGCAAAACTGTCTACTTTTGCCTTGTGGTTTGATTAATTTATCGAGAAGGCCGTATACTAAAACGTGGAACACCACACTCTGTAATCTAGAAAGCGATTTGTAGCTCGCCATGAATCAAACAATTTATTTGATAACAAGATTAAAATGACGATTTTTTTTGTGCGCAGTGTCCATTTGAAGATGGAAACAGAATGGCGTTATATGAAAAGATCAGGACACAGCAGTACGTACCTTGAGTGATACTTAAAAAAAATGCGTTTTATTCCTTAGTCTCAAATGTTTTTCTTTCTTTTTTTTCTAGATTGGAATTTCCCGATGAGTGAGTAATTATTTTATTGAAGTTATCAACAGCAGCCATAACAACAACCACAAACATCAAGAAAACTTCAAAGTCAACCGCAGCACCTCAAAGTCCACGCTCCTAATCACCATCACAAAATAACAACAACAACATCAGCAGCAGCAACAACAACAACAACATACCAACAACGTCTTCTACTTTATTACTCCTTTAAAAGCCTAGTTTTTACTAGGACATAAGCATAGCCATAAGCCGAGAACAAAAGAAAAGTCAGGCGTACGGCATAAGATATTGAATATAAGCATAGCAATAAGCATAAGACAAGGAATACATCAATTTAAGACAAATTAAGAACAAACAAAGAAAACCACCTTCTTAATCTCTTCTTAATTCCTATAGTCTTAATCCCAAAAGTTATAGTGTTCACGGTTTTTTATGCTAATAGCGGAGTGAACCAGGCTTACGCACCAATAGGAGGCRTCAACACTAACAGCAGCAATTAACAGCATCTTCATTTCTTTCAGACCTGCGATCAATCCAAAATTAGAAGATTTAATAATGCGTCTATTAACGAARGACTCTAAAGAACGGATAACGATATCAGAAATAAAGGTAAGGCAGGCAAGAGCGAGGAGGGTACCATCCATTCATCTATCCATCCATTCATTCTTTTTCCTTCATATTCTGTAGGAGCATCCTTGGGTAACTCGTGGAGGTCGTGATCTTTTACCTTCAACAAAAGAGAACTGTTCAGTGATWGAGATAACAGACGAGGATATTAAGAACAGTGTGCGCACAATACCTAAAATAAAAACCTTGGTAAGTACAATTAAACGCAACTCGTGGATATTGATGTGAGATGTATCAAAGAGACATGCTACTTATTAACAGTTCTTATTAATCTCCTTTCGTTGCTCTTTTTCAGATCCTGGTTAAAAGCATGATAAGAAATAAAACATTCGGCAGCCAATCGAAGCTACAAAGACTACGTTCGCATTCACAGCCTAACATTGGACCTATTTTAGAACAGAAACAAATACTAGATGATACTCATTAGTATATATAGTCTACAGGTACTTAATTCTTCTCGTTGAAAATCCCAGCKTCCTGACGTCTACTGAAAACTTCCTGAAACCAAATCAGGGAACTGACTGGATCGTTCCTACTGGAGACGGACGGGAAGAGTCTGATTTCAGACAAACAAGTCCCAGTAACATGATTATTATTTTCTAATATCTATAAATATGTATTATAATCGAATTGTACATTGATGATGKTTTCATAGATATCGAATATGTATCAATGTAAAAAGACCCAAACTTACGGGAGAAATTGACGGAGGGGTCACGCGCGCGGTGTTGTACTTCTGTTCCACCTTTTMGTGGTATTCGGGTTTAATTCGGGGGTTGGTCTTGTAAACCTTTGAGAAACAAATAGTTTCATATTAGAGTCGGATCCWAAACAAAAAGGTCGGGCTCACAGCTAGATTATCGCGAAAACTAGGTTAAYTCAAAAACAAATCTGGGCGACGTCTATACCGTTATGTACTTGATCTGTCTTGGATTAACAATGATCGACACAGAAAATTAGATATCATAGTACCAAGTACTCTAAAGTATAGCTCAAGRATTTATAAAGTACGTTAAATTGTGATCTTTCACTCTTATTGAAACATCGACTAAGAGTTTCAAAAATTATATTGCGTATCGTGCGAGCAGAGCTTTTCATCATGGCAGATCATGGAGGACCTCTGCTCGAAGGCTATAAATTACAAATATATCTAGTTCAGTTTCACGAGTTATAGTTACAGAAAGTTTAGAAATCAAACGATTTTAGACATCATCCATTCTAAAGGCCCTTTCTGAGATAGCACTTTGCATTGCATTGTGGTCTAGATTCGGTACAAACATCTTTTGTTCATACTGCCAAATATGGTGTTGTTTGTACTGAAGCTAGACCACAATGCAACATGATTTTTATTTCAGAAAAGGTCTAATGGGTATATATAATAGACTGAGCGCAATGAATCCCTGAAATAATTAACTATTTCTATTTCAAATTCAAGGGTTTAATGTGTTCACTTATGATTAGGATTAGTTTATATTATGTACAAAGTGTATGCTTGTAGATTTATATCTCTGTACGTAAATACTTCCTCACTTTACCGTGTGTACATATATTATATGCAAACGTCTGCAGAGACTTTTAAAGAAATCTATTTTCAAATCTAGCCATATTTTATTTTATCATATTTTATCATGGAAATTTTAGTTTAGTTCATTTAAAMATTTACAGACATAAAGTGGAGCCTCTGGATATTGCGTTGTTTTGTATCTCTTATGTAAAAATATTGTAATTCAATGGTTCAAGAATTACTRTTTTTTAATTCATACACGCGACCATTTACTGGAAGCCAGTTCTACCCCTCCCCACCCCCTCCCCCACCTACCAAGAGAATAACGACGGTTCTCTTGATGAAACTAAATAGTCCAGTCATCCTGTGATTTAAGGTCAAACAAATTGTAAAAGAATTTTTCTCACTGCTTAACAATAGATAGAGGTTAGTTAAGTAACATACTAAAAATTCGCAAAAATTCCTGTGGTGGAACATAGTCAAACTGGGCATAATTTAAATCGACATTTACCACAGGGTTCCCACAACGGGAAAATTTTAGTTATCTTAGTATTTGAGGTAAAAAACGTTTTAAACTAATTTCTTTTCCTGTCAAGTAATAGATAGGGGCTGTTTGAGTTACATATGAAATATTTGGAAACATTTCTGCCGTAGAGCATGGTCAAATGTCGAATAACGAATTTACCACAGGGTACCCACAACTTAAAAAAAAAAACACTTTTAAGTGACTAGTGTGCTAAAGTTAAGTTACTACAGAAGTAAAAATATATAAACATATTTTATACACTTTGCTTCCCAATCAAATGGGCCACAAAATAACGAGAATAAGTTAAAAAATGTACAGACTCTGCTTATAATTAACAGACGTTTAAGAACCT